AAAAAAAAACACCTAATTTTTTAACAAATGTAAAAATAATGAGCTAAGGTAGTTTTTTTTTAAAGCTAAAATAAAGGAGACAGTATAAAAGGGACTAAAATAATTTGTGGTGAACAAATAAAGTGATGATCAAATAATGGAGCTTGGGAATATGATAGTAGGTAGTACTTTAAATGTAATTCTTTAAAGTTAGAATTAGGAGAAATAATATAAAAGGGACTAATATAAATTGTGGCGAACAATAAAGTGGTAATCAAATAAATGAGCTTTGGAATATAATGGTAAAATAGTGAACTTATTACACTTTAGCACCTGAGAATAGCACCTTGATTATTTTAACAATTGTGAATATATGAACTAGGGTAGTTATATAAAGCTAAAATAAAGGAGGAAATATATAAGGGACTAAAATTAAGTAATTGTAAACAAAGTTAAATGGACAGATAGTCACTATGAAATAATATTGGTTTAGGAGTAAGATCTGATTTGTAATATTAAATAAGTTGAGCAGTTTATTGCACAATAAAAAGTAAAAAAAAAATATGAGGTAGTTGGTACTAGCTAGCAAAAGATAGTTTTGGGACTCTCAAAAAAAGTAACTGGAATACATACTAATTGCACACACAATAAAAAGTGACTAAAACAAGTAGTGGTAAACAAAATTAAATGGACAGGTAAAAACGATGAATGATATTAATTTGGAGAAAGATTTGACTTGTAACACAAAATTATGAGCAATTAATAGCAGTAAGAAAGAAGTATAAAGTATTGGAGGTAGTTGGCATTAGCTAATGATGAAAAATAAAAAAAATAATAATGCATAATATAATAGTAACGTACACTATATGCACCACACGTATATATGTATTAAGGGCACTTATCTAATCTGTTACAGAAATGTCAGCTTTTCTAAGGAAGGTAGAGAAATCATGTTCGTTTGAGATAGTATATTGTTGTCCTGTTGATGTTTTCCTTACTAGTATTTTTCCATCTCGCGTGAAACACTGATGTATTTTGTTTTCCTGTTTAAGTTTTCTCAGCCTGAACAGAAGGTTTTGACGTTTTCTTATTAGACACTCATTTATGTACACTCAATTTTTCATTGTAATTGCTGATTTAATTAGGTCCTTTCTTTTATCGTATGAATAAAGTCTGATCATTATCTGTGTTTACTTCCTGGTTTTCCTAGCAAACGCGTTTCTTTGATTTCATTGTTTTGCACGATGACTTGTACGTGGTTCTGTATTATCCTGACAGCAGTGGATCCCAATGGATCCCATCACACATTGGATTACTCCTTCATGATAAAGTTGATATGTTAGCCAAGAAGAGTATCGAGAAGGAGAATGTAGAATATAACTTTGGTATAACTGTGTCTAGCATTAGGAATAATATTAGGAGAGAAGTAAATAATGAAAATGATTGTTATAGGAATGCAGTTAGAAGCCTGAGTAGATCTATAACCCACTATGATAACATGAACGTAGATAAGTATGTTTATGGAGCAATGTGCAATGTGAACAGACTGACTGATGTTGTAGTGGCCAGGCTTAGGCTTGGTTACAAGTACTTCTGGCAGTTTGGGAGACACACAGATGATCAAACTAAATGTAAATTATGTGATCAGGCATATGGTCACTCTCTTGAACACTATGTGCTTAATTGTCCACTTATTGAGGAATACAGAGACAGACAGTATAATAACCTATGTGACATGTCAAGATATCTTATTAATGAAAATAAGATACCAGATATTCTAAGCAAATTTCCTAAATTTGCTGTAACAGATAAGTGAACTATAGATATGTAGATATAAATCCATATGTATTCCTGTTAACCCTTTGGGGCCTAGTTCCTAGGCCTTTTGTGTATCCATATGCTCTCGCGCTACCGTCCACAGGATGGATATGGGGTGCACAATAAACTAGCCACTTCGGTGGCAAAATCTAATCTAATCTAATCTGACAGCAGTTTCTTTGCACTGTGCTTGGGTTATGTCACTAGGAATGTGTGGACTGTTTATTATAACTGCATCAGACAACTTATCTTGTTCAGTTTTGTCGTCTTGGAAATCAAGGTATTCATTTAGTCGAGTGTGCATGTTCTGATTCCATTCCTTGATTGCTTCTTCAACCTTCATACTTAGGGTTGTTATTTGTTCAGTGTGACTGGTTATAGCTGCTTTCAGAGTATTTTCTGTGTCAACACTTCCCGATGTAATCTTCTCTTCAAGGTTTTGGATCTTGTTCTCGAGGTTGGTTATCTTGGATTCACGTCGCTCGAGTGTTGCTTTGATATCTTTGATTTCGTTTTCTAGAGCAACGATGTAGTCCTTGATATTGTCAGGAATAATCATACCTGAGTTATCATGGGTGAATCCTTTGAAGGGAGTAGAGTTGGAGGGCTGACATCCTTGTCTATGTCAGATATGAGGATGAGAAACATGATGGGAGCGAGTACTGTGCCTTGCAGAACAGAGCTTTTCACTGTAGCTGCCTCAGACTTTACTCTGTTGACTACTATTCTTTGTGAGGAAATTATAGATCCATCTACCAACTTTTCCTGTTATTCCTTTAGCACGCATTTTGTGCGCTATTACGCCATGGTCACACTTGTCGAAGGCTTTTGCAAAGTCTATATATATTACATCTGCATTTTTTTTTTTGTCTTCTAGTGCATCTAGGACCTTGTCGTAGTGATCCAGTAGCTGAGGCAGACAGGAGCGACCTGCTCTAAACCCATGTTGCCCTGGGTTGTGTAATTGATGGGTATCTAGATGGGTGGTGGTCTTGCTTCTTAGGACTCTTTCAAAGATTTTTATGATATGGGATGTTAGTGCTATCGGTCTGTAGTTTTTTGCTATTGCTTTACTGCCCCCCTTTGTGGAGTGGGGCTATGTCTGTTGTTTTTAGTAACTGTGGGACGACCCCCGTGCCCATGTTCCCTCTCCATAGGATGGTAAAAGCTCGTGATAGGGGCTTCTTGCAGTTCTTGATGAACACGGAGTTCCATGAGTCTGGCCCTGGGGCAGAGTGCATGGGCATGTCATTTATCGCCTGTTCGAAGTCATTTGGCGTCAGGATATGCTTGTGTTTACCAAATTCTGTGACTCTCTCATAAAAAAATTCATTTTGATCTTCGACTCTCAGACTGGTTAGCGGCTTGCTAAAAAGTGAGTCATATTGGGACTTGAGGTTAGGTGAATTGTTGAGTATTCGAGGCTGGGTATGAAATAAGTAAGCTGAAAAATAATCGAATTGGTGTGTGAATATGGAAGATAGAATGAAAAATAACTAAGGTGGAATGTAAAATAGGCGAGGTGGAGCGTGAAATGAGCTAGGAGGAGTGTGAAATAAACTAGGTGGAGCATGAAATAAGCGAGGAGGGGCGTGAAATAAGCAAAATGGAGAATGAAACGAGCAAGGTGGAGCGTGAAGTAAGCAAGGTGCAGCGTGAAATATGTGAGGTTGAGAGTAAAATAAGCCAGTTGGAGAGTGACATAAGCAAGGTAGAGAACGAAATAAGCGAGGAGGAGGGTGAAATTAGTGCTGGCACAGTTTGTATTTGGCGGGCGTGAGTGAGTAGGCTGGGAGGTGGTGTCGTGGTGGTGGTGAAGAAGACAGTTCCCCGTGTGTGAGGAACCATGGGGCTCCTCAGGTCAAGTCTACTCCTCTCTTTCTTCTCCTCCATCTACACTCAAGAATGGAACACACACGAGTACACCGTGAGGGAACACTCACTGGTTAAGCCCTACCAGGGTGAGTAACACTGGAGTACTCAGCACCCTCGGGGGTCATGGGGGACCTCAGGGTCGTCATGGTATCTTATATAATGCTGGCACAAGCTTGTTTGGGCTTGGGTTGGAGGGATTTATAAGGTTGTGAAGGGAGTGGAAGGATAGGTTGAGGTTTCTTGAGAGGGAGTACCTGGGGGAGGAAGCTCTGCTGATGTGGCTTTTTTTTTTTATGGGGGGGGGGGGGGATGCAAGGTTTTGAGCCCGGCCCTGAGGGCTGCTCACTACTCAAAGCCTGAAGGCTACTACGTACTCTTAGCTTGAGGGTTGCTGTATACTGTACTCCTACTCTGAGGGCTACTATTTACTTCGAGCCTGGCCCTTAGGGTAGCTGTATCTGTATTATTAGGAGACCCGAGAACTACATACTGTTACGATTTATTTAATCCTGGGAATGTACTCTAACCCTAAGGACAGCTGTGTACTCTGAGCTTGGTACTAAGAACCATTATAACTTTGATTCTGGGGACAGGCTTCTTGATCCTAGGAATTGGACTTAGTCTTCCCCTTCCTTGGATCAAGCCTGAATACCTCCCAGGTGCACTATGACCCCAACAGGTTTAGTGCTCTCCCTCCTTCAGTAGAGTAAATAAATAAAAATGAATCTGACCCTGAGATAATTTTCTTTGGATTATTAAGCCAGAGGATTAATAATAACAAACTATAACATAAAAAGAGTTGATAATTCTGGCATATTTCCATTGGCGTTCTTAGGTGTTCCTAGCCAGGGTGCAGCCCACAACAGTTGGCTAACAGCCAAGTGCCAGTTGACTGGTATTTGACCAGGGGTAAACAGGTGTATGAGTGCTCATGGCTCAGATGGTAACATCCTCTGCTCACTTGCTGAAGGACCAGGGATCACTTACCAGAGTGGATAGAAAGACTAGTCATGTTTCCTTACACCTGCTGCCCCTGTTTACCTGGCAGTAAGTAGGTGTTTGTTGTCTTGTGGGTCACATCCTGACACAAGAGGAGATATAAAAGAGACCTGGAAAACACTCTCTCAGATTCTGGGGACCCACAAACTGAAAAAAAAAACAAGAATATTGTTCTAACTAAACCTAATGAAACACCACTACATCCCACTGACACAGCTAACAAGATAAACGACTCCTTCTCAACCATAGGATCTAATCTTCCCAGTAAAATCCCACGTACCAATGCCCATGCCAGGGACTATCTAGATGGGAATTTCCCAAATTCCTTCCATCTTGTACCAACTGATTTTTTATTATAATAATAATTGTACCAACTGAGCCCACCAAAGTCACTGAGATTATAAAGTCACTTAAAAATAACTCTGGGAACCTGTCTCATGTCCCACCATTATTGTACAAGCGAGCGGCCTATGTCCTTTCACATGCTATTTCATTACTTTTTAACAAGTCACTAGAAACTAGCACCTTCCTGAAACTACTCAAGACAGCAAGGGTTACACCAATACATAAACAACTGTAGGCCAATATCATACTTACCATTGCTATCCAAAATCTTCGAGAAACTCATGCACAAGAGACTGTATTCATTAATAACTGCACAAAACATACTCAACCCCTGCCAATTTGGATTCAGGAAAAATAAAAGCACTAATGATGCAATTGTAAAAATGCTAGATCTGCTTTACACAGCATTGGAAAATAAGGAATATCCGCTAGGAATTTTTATTGACCTAAGAAAAGCTTTTGACACAGTAGACCATGGCATCCTACTCCACTAACTTGACCATTATGGTATAAGAGGCCATGCACTTGCATATTTCAAATCCTACCATACTAATAGGTATCAGTATGTCACCATTAAGACACAGTATCATCAACATGGCCACTTGATACTGGAGTTCCGCAGGGAAGTGTCCTTGGACCCCTGCTCTTCCTCATTTACATCAATGATCTTCCAAATGTATCCCAACACCTGAAGCCCATTCTCTTTGCTGACGACACGACTTATGTCATCTCTCACCCTAATCTTGCCACCCTCAACACCATTGTTAATGAGGAGCTGCTCAAAATATCAACTTGGATGACAGCCAATAAACTTACACTTAACACTGACAAAACCTACTATATTATGTTTGGTAGCAGAGCAGGAGATGCGCAAATTAACATTAAGATCGACAACACTCTAATTGCCAGACATAATGAGGACAAATTCCTAGGCCTATACCTCGACAACAACCTGAATTTCAGCACCCATATCCAACACATATCAAAAAAAGTATCCAAAACAGTTGGGATCCTCTCCAAGATACGATACTACGTGATGCAAAATGCCCTTCTCACACTGTACCATTCACTCATTTATCCATACCTCACCTATGCTATTTGTGCTTGGGGATCAACTGCAGCAATACACCTAAAGCCAATAATAACTCAGCAGAAAGCCACAGTAAGAATAATCACTAAATCCCATCCCTGGCAACCCTACCCCCCCAACTCTTCATAGATCTAAACTTACTCCCTGTTCAGAACATCCACACTTACTACTGTGCAATCTACATATACAGGACCTTAAATTCCAATATTAACCTTGACCTAAAATGCTTTCTTGATAGTTGTGACAGGACCCACAGGCATAACACCAGACACAAACATCTCTCTGACATTCCCCGTGTCCGACTAAACCTTTATAAAAATTCAATGTATGTCAAAGGCCCTAAAATCTGGAACACCCTACCTGAAAACTCTAGAACTGCAGACACATTCATCACCATCAAAACTACCGTTAGAAAACATCTTACCTCCCTGATACACCCCGTCAACTAACTACATAAAAACCACCTGGTGGTTCACACTTACACTCACTCGCTCATCCATTTGACTATAAGCACAGAAATACGTATCCTAATCTTAAAATAATGATCTCTAACTAGTCATAAGTTTGCCTGTGATACTCCAATATAGAAACTATATACAGTGGAACCTCTACTTGCGAGTTTAATCTGTTCCATGACCTTGCTCGCAACTGGATTTGCTCGTTTGCAGAGTCACTTTTCCTCATTTAAATTAATTGAAATGCAGTTAATCCGTTCCAGTGGAATTCTGTACTTCAGTAATTTTGAAATTACCGCTAAGGGGTGGCTAATTGCTGAGAAGGGAACTCCATTATTTGTGCCTAGATTTCTATTATTATTATTATTATTTTTATTATTATTATTATTATTATTATTAATTATTTATTATTATTATTATTATTATTTATTTTATTATTATTATTTATTATTATTATTATATAAATAATTTGTAATTTTTATTCATACAAATATAAGCTTTACTGTTATTCTTTATTGCAATAATTGTATGTCAACCGTCATTTGTTTACTCTGAAACGGCCAAGCAGTGGACCATTTCTCCTAGGTTGAGCTCTATTTCAGGTACTTTTTGTCGTGAAAGCAATTAAAATCATATCTATTTCTGTAATATATCTTCCATTCTATCAAATGAGACCAAACAAACGAGAATACAACCACAAAAACCATTTGAAATTACCGCTAAGAAGTCGCTAATTGCTGAAAAGTGAACTCCATTATTTGTGCTTAGATTTCTTTCATTTTTGGTGTACGTTAAGAAGCATCTTTCCATCATACATTGCCGAAGTTTCAATAAGATAGTCCAACAAACAAATGAGATACAATTCCCTAGATCAAGAGCAAGAGCCCCTCACCAGTGTCAAGGAACCTACCTTGAGGTCTGCTCGCTTGTGGAAATTTTGCTCACGTATGGAAGCAAAATATCGACCCATCGACTGCTCGTATTTGGAAAAACTCGCACATGGACACGCTCGCAAGTAGAGGTTCCACTGTATTGTGCCAAAACAAAAGCATTCACATTGCTAAACTCACAAACTAGTATTTAGTCACTTAGTATTTAGTCACTTAGTATTTAGTCACTTAGTATTTAGTCATCTTACTCCACAGTTTGTAATAATTTAGGGTTAAGAATTAATCTGAGTTTGCCCAAAATGCCTAGCCATGCTAGGTGTTCTAGTGGCCCCCTCTGTAATTAGTATTTTATTACATGTAAACCACACAATAACCAAAATATGTAAACCCCGTATTGATTGATTGATTGATCCTGGGGAGAAGACAGAAATGATCTGCAGTTCCCAGTGACTCGAGTTTATTGGGTTATCGAGGGTGAATAACTTATTTTTTATTTTATTTTTTAACACTTCCCATTTCCCACTAACGTAGGGTGACCCAAAAAAGAAGAAACCTTTTTCACTATCACTAACACCGTCACTGTTTTGCCAGCAATGCACTGATACTGTAGTTCCAATGCATCACCAAACTGCAATATCCCCACCCCTCCCTCAGTGCAGGCACTGTACTTCCCACCTCCAAGACTCAAGTCTGGTTGTCCTGAATCCCTTCATAAATGTTAGCGTGTTTATGTTCCAACAGCACATCAACCCTTAAACTACTTGCTTCCACTTCTAACACACACACACATGCCAGTTGGATGCCCAAGCTTCTTGTGTACTAAACCTCCTTTACCCTATCCCTCCAACCTTTCCTGGGATGACCTCTACTCTGCATTACAGATTCATACACTTAATCCCTCCCAGTCATCCTATTTTGCTCCAGCCTCTAAATGTCCGAACCACCTTGACCCCTCCTAAGCCCTCTGGATAATACTTTCAGTAACCCTGCACCTTCTAATCTCCAAACTACAAATTCTCTGCATAATCACACCTCAAACACATCTCTACTTCCTCTAGCTTCCTTGCTGTAAACAAAAAAAAAAAAAAATTGTTTCTATAAAGTAGTGTACTGAACAGTGTACAGTTATGGTAAATGACATGTATAAACTACTTTATAAAAAGCCCCTTGTTATGTAAAGCATTTTGGGCAGCCTTAAAACTAACTTATGGTTACTAGACATTGTGAAACAGAGTACATGAGGATAAGAATACTTAGTTTATTCTATATTGAAGGTATACCTGGAGAGGGTTTTGGGGGTCAACGCC